TTCGTCTTATTACAGAAGGTCGACTACCGGTTTTGGCGGAGCCGGGTCGTCGTGGGCCGTGTACACTGAGGCAATTAGCACTCCAGTCCCGTCCTCTGCCACAAGTCAACAACTACTACTTACTACTATACAAGATCTCGTCCTACCCGTCAAATTCGTTTGGAGTATAGTGTATCCAGACACTGACCCAGACCCTCTCCCCTAGAAGGATCGACAAATTAGCCGAAGCTGCAGTTCAGGTTAATTTGCACTATTTCCGGCATCGTGGTTGATTGGCGTGGAGTCAGGCGACTTTTCGTTGATGACCATGTCATCCAACATCTTCTTGGGGTCGTCCACTTCCTCAAGGAGTTCATGCGACCTTAGCCTTCCTGATGCGGTGCCGGATTTTATATTCCTTTTCATGATTTCCCTGATTTATCAGCAGAAGGTATGGCTGGCTCGTCTTCATCTTTGGACATTGGAACACCCTTGCATGATCAGACTGCCCCTTTGGTAGTCAAATGCGACCTCTGGGTCTTCTCGGGATCTCCCTGGCTTGGACTAGCCTTATCCGAATGCTTATGATAGCAACACTAGGCTCCAGGAAGCTTCTCAAAAACACATCGTCGCACCTGATCACCCAGTGCCCACATACCCCTTCTAAAGAGTCGAGGAAGGGGATAGGACCGGCATGGCAACCAACCTGTCAGTCACCATATCAGTTAACTTGGCCTCTATCTCCTCCCACTTCTGCCACCAGGCGTCTTTCGTCTTTAAGTTCATCAACCAGAGTCATAGCTAGACCGTCTCTGGCCACCTCACTAAACTTTTTCGCCTGCTTTACGAATAGACGCATTGTAGTCTTTGCCCCTCTTCGGCGCGGTCTCGCTCACGTCGTGTGAACGATCGCGCTTCCTCTTTGAAGACTGGAAGGCTTCTGGGTGTGCCTTCTTGTACTTTTCAAATACCGCGATCACCGCAAGGAATATGATGTTATCGGCTGCGTCTCTAGGATAACCTTTGCCTTTTGCCGCGTTCTGATCTATCATACTAAGATTGAAGCGGGCTCTGTTAGCCCTAACGCGGCTTTGGTGTTGTATTTGCGGCTCCTCTGTGCCGTCGTTACATTGATCTGAGGTGGTGCCCAACTGAGCCATACTTTTATTACCTTAAGCTCTGGGGGTGCTTGTGCAAGCGGCCCTTTTGGATCTCGACGAAGCTGTGACAACCTAACTTGGCATCAGCAGCTTATCTTCATCGATCTCCGACGTCAGTCGAGATACTAAACCCTACACTGGCCTTAGTCTCAGGACTAGGCTCCTCCTCCTCCGAAGTTTGTATACCCTTGCAGATTGAAATTTAATCACTATGAATTAATGCAATATTAATTATATATATATGTCGCAGTGTGATTCCTAGTAAATGTAGCATTCTGGTAAATTGGGAATTCGGGGAATTCCCTGCTTCTGCTTTACTAGCTGATATTGAGCGAAAGCACGGCAGCAGAGGCAGAGACGCTGTGCTGCTGAGTGAGGTTCGATGGTAAGATACCAAGAGTCTTGAGTAAGACAGAGATGGCTGCATACGCTCGACTTGAGTGAGTTTATGACGTGAGCGCGTATGCTTAAATGGTCAGTGAGTGGAACTTGGGTATTCGAACCGATCGGAACTCGCTGTGCAGCTGCGTCAATTATCAAAAGTGTTAACATGGATAACATACCCTTGCCGCCGACATATACATATATTAAAAAACAATGAAGTAATGCCTGCTTTCAATTTCATTTCATTCACCTATACGTATTATATTTACAGTTTTACATTCACAGTTTTGCATTTTCCTCTATATCTACCGATCGTTTGAATGCAGCTATTGATATAGTCGTCCGATTTTCATAAAATAATATATGGAATAACATATCATAAATTAACACAAAATGTCTTTAATTATATGAAAATGTGGTGAAAACTGAAAAAGTTATCATATTCAATTGTATTAATTTCTCGAGTGTTCCTAGGGCAGCTATATGATTAGTAGTAATGTACATAGAAAAAGGCTATAAGTAAAAGAATATATGCATCTACTGTGTAGTATTCAAAAATAATGCTATTAAAATGTAATATTTTTTAGTGACAATCTCAAGTCACTTAATTAAAGTTGAAAAATTTTGCTTAAGTATCGATGAAGGCTTTCATTTGGTTGGAATTGAGTTTATTAAGCTATATCCAAAATAAATAGGCATATTTTCTATTGCTTTTAATGTTGTCCTATGAACCGAAATCTTTTGTTTTCGTTTTCTGCTAGTTTTTGAATAGATAAATTTATGCGATATAATATAATAACAAAAATAAATTTGGCGGTGAAAATAATTGTGTATGTACTTTAGTGTTCTTTATCCAACAGGGCAATGACCTCAAACACACTGCTTGGAAGGTTAAGATGTGGCTGTTGCTAAAAATATAACCGATTTAATGGGTTACATACAGTTAGAATTTTTAAAAATCAATTTTTTTTTTATTTTGTTTTCTTAATGTAAATATTTTTAAGAATACACACAGAAAGTTTCGTTTAGTTCCGGTGAATATTTCCTGAGTTATAAGTAAATTTGAAAAAGTCATTTCAGAGTGATCTATGTAAAGTGTTCCTATGTATATGTGCATTCCAAACTTTAAACGTGTTTTTCTCAAAATGGCGTTTTCAAAGTCGGTGACCAACATTGCTCGAAAACGGCTAGCCCGATTAGTCTCAAATTTTAACACGACCTTTTTAAATATATTTTTTAGAAATTAATCGAAGATTTTTTCTTTCCGATAAATATTTTATTTCTTATAAACAATTTAAGGTGAAAATTTCGGCGAAAAATGTATTTTTTTTTTTTGCGAAACTTGCATTTTGTCAAAAAAAATTACTTTGCTTATTCCTTCGATTAATTTCTAGATTTGACATTACTTTGATGAAATCTGTTTGGTTTTTTAATTTCTGATGATCCAGTTCCGGTATATAGTGGTCACCGCAAAACGTCTTTTTTAAGAGGAGCTCCCGGATAACAGGTGTAACTCTTCTCCACATACATATTTTTACTAGTTTTAACTCTTAAAATACAGTTAAAAGATACTATAATAAGTGTATAAAGGGATCAATAAGTTAAAAAGATTCTTCAGAAAACACTCTGAAAAATTCACTTTTTTTAGGCCCTCTAACTGTATGTAACCCCTTAAACGCCGCCACAAAGCGCAGACGTTAATCCTATTTAAAACCTTTGAGCCCATCTTAGGTTAAAATTCCGGGAACATCGGATATTTTCTAAGAAATAATTAAACTTAATTATATGTAATATAATGTTATGTAACATTTTGTAGTTGAAATTTGAGTTTCCTTTAAGAAACAATAAAGCTATTTTTTTAACATTTTGTTATGTTCTTAATATTTATATACTGTTTAACTCTAAATAATAAATACAATCTATACATATATATAAAGAGGAAAGGTTTGATTTTTTGTTTGTTTGTTTGTATGAATTGAATAGGCTCCGAAAGTACTTGGCAGATTTGAAAAATTCTTTCACTGTTGGAAAGCTACATCATTCCTGAGTGACATAGGCTATATTTCATTTAAAAAAAAAAATAGGCATCCTTACTAAAATTTCGATAACTACCTTACATCGCGTGCGCTGCGAAAACTATTGATGATAGAACAAAATGATATACTAAATTTTTTTAGAACACACCATTATCTACAAAAAATCAGCGGCAGCATATCTCTAACTATTACAGTCATGTCACAATAAGCGTTTTTTTATTAAAAAAGAAATTAAAATACCACCGCTACAAAAATTGCCCAGCAGGTGGTCAACTAGCTCATATACCGAGGATACCGATGATCCAAAATGATATGACAATCCCATTTAAACGGCTTCAATTTCCGGTAAAAACATCTTTCGCATTAACAATTAACAAGTCACAAGGCAAAACCTTCGAATTAGTATGGATCGATCTGCGAAATAAATGTTTTACTCATGGTCAACTGTATGTTGGTCTATCGCGAGTCGGAGCCCCTGAAAATCAATTTATTTTGCTGCCACAAAATAAAACAACATCAAATATTGTTTACAGAGAAGCTATAAAAAATAAATGTATTTAGTTCAAAGGCATTTTTTCTTTTGTCATTTTGAAATGCCTAAAAGATCAAGATATCAACTTTCTAGAAATAGTTCCCAGGCCAGGGCATCAAAAATACGTCGAAATGAAGAATCTTCATCAGAAACTGAAAATCGTCTTTCAATTCATAGACAATATGTGGCACAATCGCGTGCTAGAGAGTCGAGTACCGAGCGTTCGCAACGGCTCGCTGAACAAAATTTGAGAACCTCTCAAGCACGCGCGCGAGAATCGAGTCTTGAGCGTTTACAGCGTCTAGCTCAACAAAATTTGAGAACCTCTCAGGTACGCGCGCGAGAGTTCAGTCTTGAGCGTTCGCAGCGCCTTACTGAACAAAATCTAAGAACCTCACATGTGCATGCGCGAGAGTCAAGTACTCAGCGTTTGCAGCGGCTTGAAGAGCAAAATATCAGAAATATTCAATCTCGCACTAGGGAATCAAGCTCTGAGCGTTTCCAACGCCTACAAGATCAGAGAGAACTAAATGTGCAAGAAAGAGTCCTGAATCCGCCTACGACAACTGTGACTGCCTTCTTCACCTTATACCAGGAAGATGCTTTTGCCATAACCTTGATGTATTCAGAAGTGCCCTCTTATCTACAATATGCCACAGAGAAACGTGACAGGGTACAGCTAGTTATTAATATGTTTAATCATTAAAAAAAAGTATATGTTCATGAGGTACATTGCAACGAATTCTTTTGTGACCGACTGTATATAAATGTAGGAGGTGAAACCCCAGGATCATCGGTCATTGTTAATTACTTTTTTTATATTATATTTATATTTATGTATTTATATTATTATGAGTTTACTCTATTGGTAATCTGTTTTATTTAAAACAATTATTTATTTATTTTCAGTACGCTCACAAATTGGCTTATTTAATTGGACAAAGTATTCAACGGGATATAGCTGACACGCTTTTGGATAAGCTATTCTATCTTTAACTTTGTAAAAATTTTCTGTTCCTAATAAACTAAAAAAGCAGAAACATTTTTTTTATTTTTCTGGGGGTAAAGATAAATCCTTTTGAAAATCGCCTAATAATCGCAAAATAATCTCCAAAAGGGTCTTCCTGACTAAAACATGACTTCCCGTTACTTATTTAGCATAAACTTTTTTGAACTTCATTGCTCATGATCTTCGAATACATCGCTTTTTATACCCTTGCAGAGTATTATAGTTTCAGTCAGAAGTTTGCAACGCAGTGAAGGAGGCACCTCCGACCATATAAAGTATATATATTCTTGATCAGCATCGACAGCCGAGTCAATTTAGCCATGTCCGTCTGTCCGTTTCTACGCAAACTAGTCTCTCAGTTTTGAAACTATCTGAATGAAACTTTGTAGTTAGCCTTCTATATACTCTCACTCGTACATAAGTCGGAACGGGCCGGATCGAACGACTATATCATATAGCTGCCATAGGAATGATCGGAAAATTTTTACCAAAAAATAACATTTTCCAGTTTTTAACAGAACTTGATCAAATTTAAGATATAGCCATTTTATAATATTCTACAGTTTTGTGTAAAATTTTATGAACAACGGACTACTATATCATATAACTCCCATAGAAACGATCGTTAAATATAGAGGAAAAATGCAAATCTGTGAATGTAAAACTGTAAATATAATATGAATAGCTGAATGAAATGAAGGCAGGTATTACTTTGTTTTTTTTTAACGTTAATATAAATCATTTATATTGTATTGATTCCTAGTATACGAAGTTCTATCTGCAAGGGTATATAAACTTCGGCGTGCGAAGTTAGCTTCCTTTCTTGTTCGCTATACTTTTGATCTGTAACTTAATTTTTCAAAACAAATTCTCATATACTTCCTGTGTATTCAAATGTCAGTTTGGCGGGATTAGCTCTACATTTTATCTGACATTAATAGAATTCCATTCAATTTCATAGTTAGTGCACAAGCTCTTTTCTGCTCAAGCTTAATCGTCATCATCTGTCATCATATGTCAGTTTAGCAGGATATAAATTGGAGTACAACGCTCCATTCTGCATAAGCTCGATCATTTGGATATCCGATTTTTGCGGTCGTCAAGTTCTTCTAACAATTCAAAAATCTCTCGCTTATCAGGTAGACTGCATACACTATCATGTGCATACTTATGGATTCGCTTAGTAGTTAGTGATTTCTACAAATGACGATTACCATAAATCAGTTCTGCAATAACAAAAGGTCCCTTAAATTTTGAATCTAATTTTGTTTGGTGCCTCGCTTTTCAAGAGCACATGATCGCCAATCGTATGTTTAACAATTCGAATTTAATCAACTCTTGCTTTATCAATATTACCTTAGCCTTCTCTCTATCTTTCTCTATAGCTTTGACACAATTAACACATCATCTATGTAAACCACTGCATAGGTAATGCCTAAATTCCTAAGGGCTCGGACTATGGACGTTGAAAAATAGATGACGCGTTCTTCAGTTCAAACGGCTTTGGTGAAAATTCGTATTGACCCTCCGGGGTCACAAATGCGGCTCTTTGAATGGAATCGGTGTAAATGGGCACCTGATAAAAGCTACATTTTCCGCCTCAGAGGCCATCAATTTGGTCTGAGATTAATAGCAAGGGATACCTATCTTACACTTTTTTTGCATTCAATTCTCGATAATCTTACCCCTTGTGCTAGGTCTTCTTAAAATTGCTTCTAAGATTTGCTGAATTTTATAGCTTACTATTTGCTATTCCATCTATCAAGCGGATTTCCATTAAAGGTACTCGCCTACTAGTAAGATCAATAAAGAACATGGACTATTTGACCAATATATCGTTTAGTTTTGTTATATCAGTATCAATAAAGTCGATTAAATTTAATGTGCTATCATCAATTACCGATAATACCGTTTGAATTCTGTTAATATAAAATATTTTTCATTCTAACATAACTCCAAAACCAGTTGAAAAATATCTTATCCAATTATCTATTGATCTTCTAACTGATATAATTATTGGAAGTTAAGTTCAGAAATTCGTACGGTGGACCGAATTTGCATATTGTTTCTGACAACATTGTCGCCTATACCTCTTAAAACTTCAAAATTCTGGCATTATTTGCCGGCTAGCTTTTCGCTAATTGTTTCCTTCACCAACAAGCACTTGGAACCAGAATTAAAGAAAAGTGGAAACCGCTCACCAAAATGTATTACAGTTCCGAAGCATGTCACCGTTGATCCGCTGTTGCTATAGCCTCATTTTTTCTCTACTGCTTTTCTCTTGCGGCACTCTATTGCCGCGTCTGCAATACCGAAACCATTCGGCGGAAAAGTGTCCAAACTTTCTTTTTGAAAAAAGTTTTTCAAAATTTGTCTTTTTACCAAAAAAAAAAAATGTGTATCTATTTAGTGAAACTACATTGTATACAGCTCCGACGAGAGTCAAATAAGTAAAATAAATACGGCATATAATCGACGTATTTGTATTACTATTATTTTAACTAAAGGGTGGCGAATTCGTTGCAGACGCCACCCAAAGCAAAGAGGAGGCATCTCTCCCGAAGCCTCGCCTCTTAACGTATGAGGAGTCTGTGAAGCAAATCCAGGAATTGTTGGATTCTCTCTGTTGATAATTCTCGGTCGTCCACTCTGACTCCCTCTAAAGACGTTGAGGCTGAGATCCGCACCGCAGCTTACAAGCGTCCTCAGCGTATGGGCTCTGTGATTTCCCCTGAGAAGTCCGCTATCCCTAAGAATTCACCAGAGCCTACCACTCCTACTAACTCCTCCCCGAATGCTGACTTTGACCTTTTCCTGAATGGAAATCCAACGGAGTGGATCATGCGTTTAAATCGAGCTCCATTGGTTGGCAGAGGGTGCAGCCTAAGAGGAGACGATTGCATAACTTGGTGCCGCATAGCAAAAAAGAAACAGCTTCGCGAAGGATTATTGAATCATGTTATGATTCTATCTTTCCCATACTCAGTTTGATTATGATGACATGGTAGATGTCGATGAAGTGAAAGATGCAGTCAATAAAATACCTGATCCCCCATAAGAATTCCATATGTCGTTGATATTAAAGCCTTGAAGGCCTTCTGTCCGAATTTACGCTAAGAATTCAGACACCCACCGCCATTTTTGTTTAGACGAGGTTAAAACGTAATGCAGTAGCCTCCATTTCTGTTGATATGATTAATTGATGTCAATGCGTATAATCCGAAATCAAGGCTTCCTCCTCGGGTTAACTCCAATAGAATTATTATTGCCCAAACCCAACCAACATATATGGTATGTAAGTCTGGCTCATGCTTCCTACAACAAGGACGTTTTGAAGGTCTCTTTAGTTGGACGAATGGAAGTGACAATTGAATTACCCTGGAAAAACAGGTCTCTGTGGCAGTATGTTTTGACTTTGACAACACCAAAATGATTGTCTAAAGAATGTTTGTGGACGTTGTTCACTTGAACATTCAACTGGCTCTATTCTGTGCTTGGCGAAGACTGTCAATGACCTTGTTTGTGTAAACTCAGAGGGTAATCACGCGGCCTTTGATCGAGCTTGTCTTGTTTATTTCCGAAAACTGAACAATCTTCGCTCTGCGATTAAACTTGCCGCTCTCGTCGTAAGCCAATTCTAATGGACTCCTCAAGTTTTAATCGGAGTGCAACTTACTATAATACGGAGTTCCCTAAACTTCCTGGCAATGGCAAGAGTGCGAGATACAGATCTAGAGTTCGTGCTCATTCCTCTTCTTCTGTTCCACATTCGGCCTCCCCTCTTGACTTGTTAAGTATTTTCAGAAGGTGGTCGCTCAGCCATCACTCACAGTGGCAACTCTAACCCTGAATATGAACCAGTTTCCAAACGGATCCTCTCTGAAAGTTCCTAGTTATAGAGCCCATTATGTCTAATGACCTCCGCATTAGATTCTGGAATGCCCGCGGCCTGGCCACAAATATGAATGAGCTCCTTTTTTTCCCTACAGCATAACATTAACATTATTTTAATCGTTTTTTTATCAACTTTACTCTTGAAGGTTTCGTATGCCTGAAAGCTGACCACCCCAGAAATTTAATATTACTTATTTTGTCAGAAATTTTAAATTTCAACTAGCGTCATGGTCTCAACTAGCATAGAAGAGTTATTGATCGGTGCGGCATATCTTCCTCCTTTATTAGTTTGATCAACTCCATTCAGACTTCAACGAAATACTTAGACTGTGGGGTAGCTACAGAGCCGACGGTAGAGTAAGAGCTCTACAATATGCTATAACCAATTTTTCAACAAAACTTCTAGCAACGGGAAGACTTACTTGCTTCCAATCCAATTCTAGGGCCACCCCATCCTGCATTGATATATTTGTCTAGAAATCGATTGCGAGCTTTAAACACTTTTTTAGGAAATTGTGTCAGTCCCCGAAGGCAAAGAACGCTCTTCTCAACTTTCAATTTGTGTTCAGACTCAGGCACGACACCCCTGAGCAGTTGACCATGTGGTTGAGTTTATAATCTAGGGGTTTCACTGAAAGCAATACGTGGTGGCTGCCTATCAAGACATATAGCAGGCATTTGATAGGGAGTGGCATGCAGAGCTACTTTGCAAGCTAAGCGATATTTCGGAGCCCATCCGACAGGAACAGAATCCAATGCTGGCCACTTTGCTGACGATACTGCGAATTTCTCTAGATCCAACGGTATTTATGACGCCACTGCTATGCTTCAGTTTTACCTTAAGGGGGTAGACCACCCTGACATTGTTTAAAAATTAATTTTTTTTTTACTTAGTCTTGATGCCGATATTCTTACGGTCATTTTAAGACATCGGTCATTAAAAAAATCTCAGATTCTACAGTCATTAGAAATGAGCGCTGCCGGTATACCTTAGAGTACTTTCTTTATCTTCTTTTCCGTTTTTCTCAAAACTACGTTTTTTCAAACGGTGTACATGATTTCTCAAAAACCGCAAAACCGATTCTCTTTAAAATTTTTACACAGCTTCTCTATAATGCCCTCAATAGCATGACGTAG